CGGAAGGGAAACGGTCATCGGTCGGAGGCAAAACCTGTTGATCGTTGGACGAATGGCTCCGGGGGCGAGCTCCGATCGATGCGAGAATCGAAGGAAATCGAACGACGCGGCCTGTCGGACGGATACGAGGAACTGTCGCGCGTGGAACCGGAAGACGCCGCGCCGCGGTCTGCGGCGAACGGGACGGGCGCGACGGCGACCGGGCCCGCTATCGGTTGGTCGGAAACGGAGATACAATCGGAGTTTCGGAACTGAATTCCGCTGGGTAAATCGAGTTCTATGGTTTGATGTTACAGCCGCGTCGAGATTCAATTGAAATATACTAACATCGGCTCCCTCGCCTCTGACGCAACTTCCGGGGAGCCGATCGATCGCGCGATACTCGACGCTTCGGAAATCTGTCCTGAGATAGCCTTGGTGAATCGACTTTCTCGAGGCGATCGGTGACTTCTTAATCCTTTATGCTTCTATGTAGAGTGTTGCTCGACATCAGTTTTACTCACAGTGCTTTGATTAGATATTTTTCGGTGTAGTTAGAAGGTTAATGGAATATTGTAATCGTGGAAGATATCTTGTTTCTATTTAAACCTATCGTTGCAACTTTGCTACCTTCCACAGTATTTAAAAGGATGTTGAATTTTATTAGAATCGAATACTCGTTTAACCCTTTGACGAATGCCGACATTTCGGCGAGATGAAACGTTAGTATTTCGAAGACTAAGTCTCAGGCAAATGATTTAATCACTCAGACAGCAAGAGATTAGTGTGTAGTTTCTGCTTTTGCTATTATTTAAGCAATCAATATATAATTTAGCTTCGTGAAGGTTTTCTACATTTCAAAGAATCTTCGTCCGCAAAGGGTTAATGCTTATGAAGTAATCTTATTGAAAAGTCGAGCTTTCTAAGGATTAACCGATAGAAAATGTGTCAACGAAGGAACCATAGCTGTCCGAAACACAGACCGGTCTGTTGAATTGGCCTGGAAACTAGCTCGCTTGGAATTACCGCGGTCGAACGGACCAACCTCGTCATCCGGCTGCATTAATTACGAGGCCCGCGACTTTGCCGTCCGTGTCCCCGCTTTGAGTGCAAAGCGGATTTTTCACGCTGGCCACGCGGCTTCGGTATCCGTAACGATAACGCGCGATCATGGAGACCGCGTTCGAGTATCAACTGGATCGTGCCGTTGCCCCAGCGATAGGTGAACCGTGCAAACAGAATATTTCATAGGGAAAATACAGATGTAAACATAACGGCCCGCTCTCCGCGAAAATCGAAGGGACCACCACCGTTGACCAATGAAAAATTCGATTTGTACAATCGATACGCCGCACAATGCGGCCGAACGCTCGTTTTCTCGATAAAACTCGATTACTTGAAAGGTATAAACGATACAAGAAAATGTTCCGGACAAAAGTTGTAAGGTAGAGAGCTGAACATATGGTGGTTACATATTTTTCACATTACGGGGATATTATGAAGGTTATTCAACGACAATGGACACTTTATGGTTCGATCTGAATGTTGCATAAATGGAGACACTCAGTAACTTGCAGAAAATTTTGATTTTTAAATGAACACCATTTCGTATAACAGAGACTACTTAACACGTTGAACGCCATGGGGGTCACCGGTGACCCCAACCAAATTAAATTACTATAATTCATTCGAATAAAACGATGATTATTTGAAAATTTGTCTATATTACAAGTAACACAACTTAACGCGCCGACATTCAACAATTCAAACCTGTAACAATAACAATGTAATTCAATGCCATAAGTTGATGTTACATTATCTTCATTTTCCATATTTGTCTAGGCAAAACCGTGCGGCAGTCAACGCGTTAATCCTCAATTTTCACTTTGCGAATCGTCGAGTTTCGCGGTCTCGTCTACTGACGTGCCTTCGTTTATGATCTTCGTTTCGCTGCTCCGCGAATTATCCGATAATTAGTCGATAGCGACGCATCTCGTTAGGCGAAACGAGGAAGTTCCTCAGAAGGAAATCGCGGTGTTTGCGTAACCGTCTAACGCCGCTGCGTCGTAGCCCGAAGGTAAATAGAACGGATCGCTAGAAATCTTTGCCAGCCTCGAACAAGGAGGCGCCGCGAATCTGTTCCAGCTTCGCCATTGGCTCTGATCCCCGCGTTTCATCGATGTAACAGTGCAGCGCGCTGTGAATACCAAAATTTTGAAAATTCCTTGAAAACGATACATCACTTGATTTAACACTGGAACTACCAAATGAGTCAAAATGACTCATATCCTGACATTCTTTCGCAATTATGCAAAGGCACAGACGATCTCCTGAGAAATAATTCAATAAATTGATTTAGGAAACAAGGAAACAGAACAGAACTCAACAAATGTATTTTCACACATTCCATAAGGAAGTACAGAATAGTTTCGCTCGGCAGTTCCAGCGTTAACGAGTCGCCGACCGAATTGGAAAGAGAAACGCCGAGGCCGAACGAGTCGCGCAGCGAAACCAATATCGTCCTCGCGATGACAAATGCCGGTTCGCCCGATCGGCTACACCTCCTCCATTTCTCTCGCCGTCCGCCATAGATCGCGCGCCAAACTTTCCGAATGGCGGCGATAACTTTTACCCGGCGAGGAAGACGTCTTCGAGGGAACGACGACGGTCGCGCGTCCCAATTCGCACAGGAGGAATCGCCGGCAATTACGTTTCCGTCTGACCGCCGGCCGAAATCGGTCGTTCGACTCGACGAGTTCCGGTACAATTGGAAAACTCGAGCGCGAGTCGATTAGGATTTCGCCTACGAAATTACTCTCGCCCCGAGTATCCGATAGGCTTCCCGATTCGCTCGTGACGCGACTTTCCAGGCGAACGCGACGAGCACGCGTCGCTTTCCTCTCCGTTGGACGCCGGTCGAGTTTCGCAGTGTGTACGCCCGGATCGCGTCGATTCCCGGTCAATCGTTAAATTCGAGCAACGTGGAAACGACCGCAAACTGCACCGGTGCATCCGTTTCTCGGGCGTTCAGCCTGGATTTAGTATCCATAGAAATTAATTTCTCCCGTGGCTCGCGAGCAATACGGTTCCGGCCACGGTTCACCCGTCAGGATGGGATCCCCCTGTTGCATTTTCCATTAATGCGACCGGCCAACGTAAACCAACCGTGGAACCGTATTCGCGAAG